TGCCGTGCGTAAGAGCTGAAGAGTGAAAGGATGCGGTAGGAGGTCTTTACGGTCTTGCTCTGTCTTCGCTCTTAGGAGAAAGAAAAGTGTTAATTAAACACCCCCACCTTGGCAAACAGCAGTGCCAATACTAGGATTATAATACAAGCTGGTGTTTGTGCCTGGGGTTAGGCTTCAAGAAGCTGGCCTCGGGAGGATTCCTTAAACCGCTGTGTGACAGTATAATAAAAGCTGATGACTCCTCTCTTTCTGGGTAGGAGGGTATCACCTTTCCTTTTTGGTGTGTGACCTTTAGCCCTTGTAATGAAGAGCAGAAGTTGTACTATTAATTGCTTTTAATCTTTGTAAGGCACTTGCTTTCCTTCCAGGGTTAGTAGTCTGCAGAAAGCCTGCTTGCACATCTGAATAACTGGCATTTTCTACTGAAACTTTAATATGCCTCTCCCATGGTGCTCCCCTTTCTTCTTAAGCATAATGAGTAGTAAGATTTGTAACTAGCTTTTTTGATGTTTGTTGTGTTCCTCTTACGACCGAGTGTTTTCAGGCAACTGTAAGCTAGATCTCGTTAGTGGAAATAGTAGTGTTGGCAATAAAGCCAAATGGGTGTGAGAGGTGAGGGGCAGAGTACTAAAATGACTTCAAAATGGGAACCACAAAACTTACTAACAGCCTATGTTAATGAAAAAAGCAACCTGCTTCCAAACTGGGTTTGAAATGTTTATAATTAAAAACAAGTAGCTGCTTTCTGATTACCTTGGGTTGGTTTCTTCCACATTGTTTGATGTGGGTTACATTGATAGTTTTAAGAGTTGCTTGATGAGTACGTAATCCAGGGAACCGTCCAAGTGTCTCTTACTCTATCATGTCTATGTTTTCTGCCTTCACAACTCAGGAGTGCTAAAACTTCAGTCACAGGTCAGGTTCTTACTCTGCATGTAGTCTCTTTCTGTGCAGCAGGAGTTTTCATTTCCACAATAAGTACCTGGGTTTTCACAGTTACCTACACATGGTAACGGTTTATTTCTTTCTCAAAGATTTCTGTGCTTGAACATAAAGCATTGCAGCCTAGAAAAAGCACTGGGATAATTTGATGGTTGCTAAGATCTATGGCAGTCGGGGGAAAAAAAGAACCAAACAGTGTGGACTCATTCCCTTCCTGACTTCCACTTGCTGATTTTGCAGGTAGCTGTGCAGCATGATGTGACTTGTCGAAGGCTGAGTCCATAGGTGTTTCCTTTCAAGTGACCAACATCCATCATTAAATGGCTTCTGCAATTTCTAGCAAATTTGAAGCTTGAACCCTGAAGGTTTGCTCAGGCTCTGGTTAGTCAAAGAATAATCCTATAACATGGATTACCACATAGTCTAAATGGTATCTCACCTGTATAAAAGGTGGGGAAACATTACCTCTCACAGGTTATTTGATTTCTGATCAGAAGAGTGACCAGCTCGTAGTGGCTCAGAATATTTCTCTGAGGTAGAGAGGTGTACTGGTTTTGGCTGGGATGGAGTAAGTTTTCTTTGTAGCTCTGTGTGATGCTAAGTTTTGGGTTTCTGACCAAAACAATGTTGATAACACACCTATGGTTTAGTTATCGCTGAAGGATGTTTGCACAGCCTCAAGGGCGTCTCAGTTTCTCATGCTGCCCTGCCAGTGAGTAGTCTGGGGGTGGGCAAGAAGTTGGGAGGGGACACAGCTAGGACAGCTGACTCAGGCTAACCAAAGGGATACTCATCATATGATGTTGTGCTTGGCAATAAAAGCTGGGGAAAGAAGGAGGAAGGGGAGACATCTGAAGTAATAGTTAGGCATGATGAAGCCCTGCTTTCTTGGAGATGGCTGAACACCTGCCTGCTGATAGGAAGTAGTGTATGAATTTCTTGTTTTGCTTTGCTTGTGTGTGCAGCTTTTGCTTTACCTTTTAAACTGTCTTTATCTCAACCCACAAGTTTTCTCATTTTTACTCTCCTGATTCTCTCCCCCATCCTTGTTGGGGAGTGAGTGAGCAAGTGGCTGTGTGGTGCTTAGTTGCCATCTGGGGTTAAACCACGACAGCTTGTGTGCAGAGCTTTGCTTTACCTATTAAACTGTCTTTATCTCAACCCACAAGTTTTCTCGCTTTTACTTTTCTGATTCTCTGCCCCATCGCATGGAGAAAGTGAGAGAGCGGCTGCATGGGGCTCAGCTGCCGGGCAGGGTTAACTCATAGGGTTAACAGGGTAGTGAGGTTTTGGGTACTGCCCTGTTTTAGTGTATTGTTACTGTGTTAATGCCAAAATTACTTATTTTTGAGTAACCTGGAAAGGATCCCATTCACTAATGTAATACGACTTTCTAGTAATTCCCCGAAATGTTTTCTAATTACTTATACAATCACTGTTGAAATCAAATGGTGACACGTTTTTAAATAACAATGTAAATAGCAGTGTTGTTAAAATACACGATTGATGCTAACGGATCTCCTGGGTGACAGTGTCTGTATGCAATTAGTACAACTGGGAGGGTAATAACCACTACATTTTGTGATTTGCCAGAATATCCATGTGAGGATGGAGATAGTGCCTTGAGAAAGTGTCAGGTTGAGTTTTAGTAAGCAGTCCATAGCCTATAAAAGCTGAAAAGGTAATGATTAATTGCTTAAGTCTGCAGTTGGAAAATTTGACTTTCAAGGCTGCTTAAAGTTTGTGCACAACTATAAATATGCCTGGCTTGAAATGTTACTGGGTATTTGGGACAAAGAGACTTGTAGTCTTGTGCATAATTAATAAAATAGATTATTTCTTTTTCCTCAGCTGAAATCTGTAGATTGCAGTTTAGGATGACTTAATTTAAGGTCATAGCTGTCTTTCCTCAAGAAGCAGATGATTTACAAAAACCCAAAAGGATTAAAATAGCAGTACACACAGTCAAGAATGAAATTGAGGAACAGAAGGAACTCTCACTGTACAGTCTTCCCAATTAAATGATTATAAACATTTTAACCCTTGAAAAATGATCTTAAAGTAAGATACTTTCTCCTAAGGAAACACTTGTACTGCTTTTTTTACCACATATGTGTCATGTGGTTTCAGTTTCCTGGTATACAAATGGTGGCTGTTGTTTTTTAATTAGAAAAATACGTTGTTGATTATAGTTGTCAAGCACTGTTTGACATAGAATATAATTTTCTACAAAATTACTTTGCAGGTCTCTCTATCTGCTCTGTAACAAATGAAGATGAAAATGCTAAGCAGCAGCGTAAGCCAACAGAAGTATTTCCATGTGAAAATCAGGATGGGAATTCAAGGATGTCTCCATTTAGGAGCAGACTATTCACAAAGAGGTCAAGAAACTCTTCCCCAGTGAAACTTCAAATAAAACTTCAAGATTCTGATGATGAATGTGATCTTGTCATTGATGTGCCACCACAAGCTGTTAATAAAAAGCCAAGAATAAGTAGGAACTATAGAAACAGGAACAGGGACAAAGAACTGGCTGCTGTAATATGTGCAGAAAAATTACATGATAGTGCTATAGCAGACATTCTTGGGTGTACAGAAGAAAAATCAGAGAAAATTATCACTTTGTGGAAGAATGGCAAAGGTTTAAATAAATCTGAAGAACTAGGCAATGTTTCTCCGAAGGCAAATGAGATTTATTTGCCTGATGTAAACACTGATATATTGAAGGTTTTCGAGGAAAGAGATGCACTTGCTTATACTGAGGAGAAGTGTGTATCTTCAGCTGCTTCTATTGAGGCAGACGTGCAGAAGGGAATTTTGAAGCAAGGAAATGCAGAAGCCAATATATTCGTCGAAGCATTTGTTCGGGAGCATGCTACTGATGAAGACACTGTGAGCAGAAGAAGAGTAACACGGACTGTCTTGTGTACTGGTCATTCGTCAAAAGATGAAACCACAATTGAAAGACCTTATAAGGAAATAATAAATACAGAGGAAAGCCAGAGCATAGAAGAAAATGGGGGTAATGATAGCCCAGAAGATACATACCCATATCCAACTTACTATGTAAATAAGAAAGAAAGTGAAATAACTCTGCTGAGTTCATCTGCTGAGGAAGCGGAACCCAGTGGGGAGGACACAGAGCTCTCTGAATCAGATGATCCTTTAGAGGAGTGTCGGAGAATTTTTGATGAGTTTGAAAGAGAAGCACAAAAGAAGGATGATGATAAGCAGGTATTTTGTTTCCCTTTCAGTGCTTGGGTGTTTTTTCTGAGCATATGAGGATAGGATGTGATATATAGTCGCGTTCAAATATTCTTTCCGAAATGTGTGTTATAAAGGTTAAATATTTGAGCCTTCAATGCTGTAGACAAAGTTATAAGCAACACTTATGACTTTCTAGTCTAGTTTGACAATGGGCGATCTGTATGTTTCCTGAAGTAGAAAATTGCTCTGAATAGCTCCCTGCCTTGGGGTAGCCATTTTTACTTTTACTGTAATAAGCAACATTTTAGAAGCAGTTGTGTATTCAGTAGTCTCCTGTTCTTTTTATAAACAAATGTAGGAACTTTGAGTACCACTGCCTCAGCTTCAGAGCACTGTGGCTTAACTGTTCTGAATGCTAACACTGTTAGAATTGTAATTTTCCTGGTGAGTTTTTTGACTGAATATCCTGAAACATTGGAGTGAATGGGTCATGAGGATATTACTGAAGTCTAGACCTTCATAACAGCTGGTCTAAATAGTCTGTTCTTGTTTTTAATAGGCCCTTGGAGGAAATGTAGATCTCAATTTATTAGAAACCAAAGTAAATGTTCCTGGACAAAAGAGAAGAGTTGCACACATGGCAAAATTTTATGTGAGTTATAATCGTGTAATCAGTATAAACTGATGATCAACGTAGCTTTACTTAATATCTGTAGACTCATGTTGAACTTCAGGTTGGCTGAGTCTTGTAATCTAATTGTAAAAAATATTTTGAAATTAATTAGAACAAATGTCTCATCAGCTCTTCTGTTAAAAGTTGTAGCAAATATTGTAGTACTTAGAGTTGGTTCCTGACGCAGGCGAAGTAAGCTGCTGCCCAGGGCAGCTGAGGCTAATGAGTGTTGAAAAGTCAGTTTGGACTGGAGGCTTGTGCCATGAAATTACAGATATGGCACTTGGAAACCCAAAGTGGCTGTTGCTTTCTCTGCTTTTACAGTGCTCTATTACAGTGGCAAAGTTAATAGCAGGCATCATTCTTTAAGCCCCCTCCACCATCCCTGAGCTCTTTCAGCTTGGTGTCTTCCTTCCACGGACAGCATGCTGAGCTCCGAGTCTGATAGCAAAATTCAGTTTTAAGAAGCAACATGGACTTTAACACCGTCTTGCTGTGATTTGGAACTGCTTGAATGTTAACTCTGGTTTTGTGTTTGTGCGTATCAGGTACATAAAAATGAAACAGTGCCTTTCAAAGCATCTTCTTGGCAGCAGGGTCATGATGCAGAAATTCAGCAGGCAAACTGGGAGGCAATGGAGTTTGCAGCTGCAGTTGCAAGGGGACAAGCTTTTATTGCTACAACTTCTGAACAGAAGAAAACTACGTATGGATTGTCAGCCACTCAATTTCAAAGCATTGCACCAATGGGTATGACAGCTTGATCCTAGGTTTGAAAAACTAAACTTCGTTTTGCTTCAGTTAGGCATTGCTTGAATGTGTTTGTTGTGGTGAATGTTAGCTGTGAGTTGAATGATGATGAGCACTTAGCTTGTGCAGATAGATGCCCTATCCAACTACAAGGTTATATTTGAAGTCTTGGTAGCTCTAGTGGAAAGGGAACAAGTATTTTGTGCTAAGTTCTTTGAACGTGTACAGTTTTGACCGAAATCCTAAAATATTTGTTTTGTTGAAAGTCTTTTGACAAAAACAGAAATCTGGTGAGTTTCCTGTTAGTACTGACATCAACTGTTAGGTTTGTAGTCTTAAGCATTCAGACCTTCTGAAACAATTTATTAAATCTTGTGATTTGAAAATCATATGTTCTTCTCCCTTTAAATTCTCCTTCATATGTGAAAAATCCTGGAGTAAAGTTATTTTCAGCATTTGATACCAGTTAAACAGTGTTTCCCCTCCAGTTCTTCTACTGTCACTTTAAATATACACTTACAAAGTAACCTACTTAGCAATTAAATTAATAGAATACTACTTTATAGTTTCATTCACGTGTCTTTATTACACATGCTATAAAGCATCTTCACATAAAGTTGAGTCATTTTGCCAGTGTATGCATTCTTTCTGAATAACAGTAAAATGGATTAGTGTATCTCATGATGTACAAATGTGTCTTGCTGTACAATAGGTGCTGATGGAAGTGAAGTCAAATGCTGATACCTTGGCTCCAGAATCTCATGACAAATTTTTATTTCTGAGATCTGTAGCTTTCCTGACTTTAAAAAGGCAAAGCAATACTTCAAGGCACTTACTGATTGCATTGGAAGATGAAGTTAGAATGGTGGTTTTCCTGATTTTTTTTTTTTTTTTTTTTTCTTTTCCTTGCTGTCATGCTTTGTTGCAGGGGAGAGCAAAGGGACGGGGAAGGCAGGCAAGTAGGTGTTTATAAAAATAATAGTCATTCCAACTTGAAAATAGCTTTTAACTTGACTTTTGTGGTTGCTTTATTCTAACATCTTCAAACTGATATATGATCTCAAAAATACTGGAGAACACTTTGCATAAAATCTATTGGCAGAAGTGAAGTCTTCATGTGTTTCCTGATGTTCCAGGTTTGCTTCCGTACATGAGCGTGCTTTTACCCTGCTTTAAAAAAGGAGCTGTGAAATACCTGTGTTTCAGATTAATGTAATTTAAATAATGAAGCTTACCGTTAGAGTTTAGATTCAGTCTGTATCTTTTGTGTGTTTCAGCCTCCTTAAATTTACTTGAAGTTCAGCCCATTGAAAACAGCAGTGGTCAACTGCATATACTACTGGACGGGAATGTTGCAACAGCAGTGCCCTGTGGACTTTCTATTAGTTCATTTGAAAGGACTACTCTTGTGCCATGCAAGGTACTGTAGAATTACTGCTGCAGAACTTCGGTATATGATTGGGAACAGAAGTGGAAAAACTGTAATTAATTTCAAACAGTATTTTATAATGTGATGTACCAGTACGGCTTTTTTTAAAAATTGCTTTGTTTCCTGTGTGCTTTAATCAAGTTGCTATGCAAATTGTACTTTCATTTTTCTTGGTTGTACTAACCAGCGTTACACAAATGTAAGCAATTAAATATATAAATTGTTAATCAAAGTGGTTGTGATGAGAGAATTAAGTACTAGTTTGTTTTCAGTCAAGTCATGCTTGTGTGTTGGTTATTTTCCCTTAAAACTTCCTGCCATGTATAGTAGCAGATGATATCTGATGAAAGGCTTTATTTGGCTTCAGGAGAGGTACCCTTATAAATTAAGGGCTTTCAAGGAACTTGTCAAAAGGTTAATGTGGATATATTTTGGTTTGTTAGTGCCAGCTTTGCTTTGTGATTTTGAGTGGCAGAGTACTGTAAGGTTCTCTTCTCAGAAAAATTACACTAACCTTGTGGGTTTTTTTTTAAAGTAGAGGTCACTGAAGATTCCTGGGGTCAGATAAATTACAAGATGAGAGTTTTGCTTTCTAATTAAAAATGTCAAATGTTACAGCTTCAGTCAGTTTAGTTATTGACATTTTTCTAGGATATTGAGTACGGATTACTTCTTGCTTCATATCTCCAATATGTATGTTCTTGTTTCCTAAATAGAATACTGCATGCCCCAGTAATGGTGAGACTAAGTTGTGACAATGATACACATTACCTTTGTTCCCTTTATGCAAAAATTACCTTTCCCTTGGTAGTAGCACACACATTTAAATGCTGCTTTTAAAGGATCTTCCTTAGTGAATAAATGTGGTACAGGCATATTACTCCTTGTTTGATACACCCAATGCATCTTTGTAACTGCTTGCACCTTTTTGGGCGTGATGGTATCATGGTTAACCTAACTTACTGCCAGATTTTTGAATGTGATCATTTTAACTTCTGTGCTTAATGTTAAAATAAGCATATCGTGATAAGCAAAAACTCTACATTGTGTTGTCTAACAAAGACTATAGGTTCCTAAAAATAAACTTGTTTTTTTTCCAGTCTAGTTCATTGGTTCCTTAGTTTACTCTCTGAGTGAAGTACTGCCTGAAATAAAGACCAGATGGAGACCATGACTTAAATCATAACTGACCTGCTAGTGCTTGCTGAAGGACTGAAACTTCTCTGAGAAAAAAGAAGTTAAAAAATAGTTTTAACACCTCACATAACTTTGAGCAGAAGACTACTTTGTTTAGTTCAAGCAGGGGAAATCTGTATGGCTACTATTTCTGATGGTTGTTTCTGGCTCCCTGTCATGTGCAACTCCAGTTTTCTGAATAGCTATTCAGCAATATTTGATTTTTTTTTTTTCCTTACAAGGATGGGCAAAAGAATGGCTGAATTGGTGTTAGTTTTTTGGGCTATTTGTTACATATTGACCACATTAATATGGGTTTGTTTGTGTATTTGTTTTAAGGTTTCTACTCAGAAAAGGCCTTGCATTCCAGAATCAGGGTCCAAAGTACCACTTGAGACAAGACAGCGATATGTCAGGTTTTTTTTTGCAGAATGCTTCAAATTTTGTGGCACAGTGAACGAAGCTATTGACAAGGTTTGTAATGTTTTATAGATCTTCACAATTCCGCTTCTGAATTAAGTCAGTAGGTCTTACTTGCACAATGTGTTGGTGGGGGGTTTTATTTGATTTTTTTTTTAAGGCAAATATTTCAGACTTTTCAGTAAGCAGAAGTTAAAACGTACTTGATCTTGCCTGTGTTATCAATCAGTTTCAGTTTTCTCCAAGTAAAAACACTTGTCTTTAGCACTGCTAATTAGCTTCCAAAAAGACATGTTATTTTAGTATTAAAAAGGAAAAGTTTTTCTTTTACAAATGTAAAATAAAAATCTTCTTGTGAATACTGGAGGCTTCCTGGAATGTAATTATGACTTTGAGATCTGTTCAGGACAGGAGGAAAACATGTTTGAAGAAAAACTGTAAATCTCTCAATTGTTGTGAGCCTTTGATCTTGTATTTACTGTTTACACCACACCAACTGCTACCTAAGCTTATAGCCAACAGATATGGCCTGAGAGGCACAAATATCCTTAGCTTAACCTTTAGGTGATGTAAATTTCTTGCATGCTGGAAATCAAAAGACTTTATGGAGGTGTCCTGATAAGACTCTGTATGTGTATTTAATTATATGTTGAATGAAAGCTTGTAAAACATCAGATGTTACTACTCTGCCATATACTGTGTGTTCTCTATATTATGCAGCATACCTTGGTATGTCTGACTTTTCATTCTCACTAAGTAATGTTTCTTTTACCTTCCCTTTAACTTCCTCCTGTGTTATTTCTCAGCTTCATCAGTTCTCTACTTTCTCTTTTCCTTTGCTTAGAGATTGTAACTTGTGAATTGTAGTTGCTGTAGTGATTGTTAGAAGGCACTGTTTATGCCTCAATTTTGTTGACTACGCAGATAGTGTAAACAGTGAAATAAAACCAGGAAAGAAGCATTTTTCTTCACCCAGAAGATTAATGAACATACACCTTATTTCGAGTGTGCTTCTTCATAGTGAAAAGGTGCTGGACCTTCCTTCACTTCTGTTTCTTACCTCTCTACAGAAAGAAAATTAAGGAAACATTTCTTGTTTCCTTAAAAAGTAATAATGCCTCCTTTGAAGCAGGGTCAGAAAAAGCTGTCTGTAGCCACAGGAATGGTTACCCGAAGAGTGTTTGAATTCCCACAAGGATTAGATTTAAATTCTGAGTTCTAGCACTGATTTCCCCCACAGATCTTTGCTTCATAAGTACTAAATTTGTCTTTCTAGGTGTCTCATCCATCTGACTTTGTGTCTCCTGTTGCACTTCGGATTTCGGACACTACTTGCATGTATTATTACTCTAGGTTCAGAATCTCAGATTCTAAATGGCAGTGCTTTTTGTAGAACATACAGTACTCCACTAACACTCAGTATCTTTTCTTTTTTTTTAAATATAGGCCCTGAGAGAAGAGCAATCTGTTTATGATCGTTGTGGCAGTAAAAAAATGTACCTGAATTTTGCTGTGAAGACTCTCAAAAAGCTGAGAGATCATGGTAGTTTTGCTTTCAATGAAGATTTTTAAATGGGTTGTAAGTGTAGAAATTAGAACAGCAGAGAAATGTCTTAAAAGGATTATTTAGTTTAAAGATATTTCTGCATATTTAAATCCTTTTCTAGAAATAGATCACTGAAATAAATTGGTGTTTTGATTTATAAATATTTGCTTAGGATATTAACAGGAAATATAAAATTGAGAAGGAATGCTAAAAATTCGTTTTTCTGTGTTCAGGGCAACTTAGCAACAGCAGATCTTGCAGTGGCTCTGGATCCATAAAGTTAGAGGAAGAGAAAGGTAAAGAAAGGGGAAGGAGGAGTGTCAGTTCTTCACTTCAGCTTATAAATGGGCTTATTTCAGCATGAAAATGTTGCTCTGTTTTTGGTCAAGCTTTGTCTATTAGCCACTGCAAGGGTTTCCAACACAATTTCTTATTTATATCTAAGGCTCATTCTTAGGGGAAAAATATTGCATTTTTTTTTTAAAAGAGCATGGTCTTTAGTATTGCATGCCTAGCTTTCTGGGATAGCTAGTCAATTAACATCCCTATTGTTTAGTGTCTTTGTTTTGAATAATGCTTCACCTCTAATCACTTCTAATTGCTCTGAGATACAAGCATATAATTTTTGCATGTAAACTATAGTGCCTGTCTTGTAATTTCAGTTTTGTTTTATTTTGGAAGTACTAGGATATTTAAGTGCTACTTACATTTGTTCTAATATTGCTTAAGCTTTGGGTTTGTTTACTCATAGGTTTTTGGTTGTTTTTGTTTTAGCATTTACAGGTGGTGCTCTATATGAACTTTTAAAAGACTATCTTCTGACTGAGGAACAATTGAATGAAAATAACTTCCCTCGACCAAATCCTGAAAAAAATGGTAGTGCTATACTTACTGGGGTTGTAAAAAATGCTGGATATGATGGTGAGTGCCTACTAGACTGCAACAAAATTAAATTTCAGTCAGTGGTTCACAGGACAGTAAAATACATGGGTATAAAATTATACATTACGGCAGAATTCCGTATTTAGTGCCTGGACTACAAGTGAATTCACAAGCTTTCATAAATAAACCATGAAGCTTCATAGGTCTTTTTAAATTTTTGTTTCAACATAGTAATTGAAGAAGTTGCAGGTAAACTTGAATTTCTTACTGTGCTATAGAGGAACTTGGGTTTTTTATACATGGCTAATCTTGGGAGGCTGCTTATGTATTGATACTCTGCTCTCACAACTACTGTTCATGTAACTTTTTTATACTTCAATTCAGCACTTTTTAACTTTATGGCAAGCCAGCTAGGAAATATGCTCTGTTATCTTTTTTTAGCTTTCAAAAGAGTGTGCTGTAGGTGTGGCGAAGTGTATGCTGTTACTTCTTCAGGAGAACATAGACGTAAAGAAGAATGCAACTATCATTCTGGTAGAGTATTGGAACAAAAAGGTAGGTATCATTGGCATTCAGTCTTCATGGAAGCTGTTAAAAGTTGTAACATCTCATGTCAAAACTCAACAAGATCAGAGTATGAAACTTTTTTTGCACAAGGTTCAGCTGAGATACATTCTGCCGTACTTTTGGGAACGTGGCTAGTCAGTAAAGCCTGTTTTCTCTGAATATGCCATAACTTTAGGAAAGCTGATGTTAATAAAACGGGGTGGGAAGAAGATAGAAAAATGTTCATTATGTGGCCTTGCACTGACTTCTAAGTGAACCTTGTTATCTTTTCTGAGAGACACCTTAAATACTCAGAAGCTGCATTAAATGTTTCCTTCATGGAGAACCTTCTAGAGCATACTACAACTTTCTCCTACTCATTGGTATTTCTTTTTTTTTGATGGAAACCTTGTCTCAGGAGGGAACAATGTAGAGCTTGTCATCTTGGCATAGGTGGGACCTGTAGATGGGACTTGCTTCTTTCCATAGTACAGTCTCAGGAGAAAATGGAAAAGAAATTTGAGAGGAGGAGTGAGGGTACTGATTTGGTTTTGCCATTGATAGTTGCTGCAAAGACTACTCAATTTTCAACTTTTCTTTTTGGCAGTTCCTGGTGGCATGGAAAAACGCTATAGCTGTTGTGAGAGAATAGTTGGGTCTGCTGGATGTCAGATTGCCAAGGTAGGAATAACCTTCTCAGAAGGTTTATATGATGCAGTATCTCAGTTTTGCTTTCTGTGTCCTTTTGACTTAAAGCTGGGTCATAGCTCTCTGCAAATGGTTTGGTATAAGCTTTTTAGATTTACTTACTAGTGTTTAGTAAATTATGTAGCAAATGTTGACAAGAAGTATTATATGTATGCTCCCGAGTCTGTAAGAGAAACAAATCATCTGCCAATTTGTGTAAGATATATCTAGAAAACTTGCACTTAAATACTAATGGAAACTTTGCAGCTTCACGTTCATGATGGAAGAAGGGAGAAATTAGAAGGCTTCGTGAAGACATTAGTTAAATCACCGCCTTTTGATGGAAACTATGGTGTATATGCTCTGGACTGCGAGATGGTATGAGCAACCTGAAAAGTTTGGTTCGGTTAATAGAAAACTGTATTGCTCTCTGTGAAGCAGTTTCTTAGCTGTAGTAGTTTGGAACTCATGTCTCAGAGGTCTCCAGAACTCTGACTAGTAACTCTACATGACTAGACCTTCAGTCTGACCAGTCACTCTACGTGACTAGACCTTTGGTGTTGAATATGCAGTGAGCAAAATTGTTTGGATCTGTTGAGTTGTAACCAGTTCTGCTTTCTGTACAATTTAATGTAAGGAAACATCACTGCTGTGTAAATGCTTGTTAAATTTACTCTTTTCTTCAGTGTTACACAACCCACGGCTTGGAACTAACTAGAGTGACAGTGGTCGATGCTAAGCTACAGGTTGTCTATGATACGTTTGTTAAACAAGATGGTAAAGTTGTAGACTACGATATAAGGTATGCTAATTAGTCTATAGTACTTCAGGATTAGACTTAATAAATTGGCAGATGACTATATAAGAAGAAACATGCCTCTTACATCTCTGTTTGCAGTAACATAAATCAAAGACCTTCAGTCAGGAATGAGGCTTTTGTTCTTACAGGCTCAATTAAGAAGGATTTTTCTCTTTGCCTAGTTCAATTTATTTTTTTCCACATTTGAAGACTTTTTCTCCCCTTCCTTAAAAAAAAAAAGTTAAGTTAAACCTCCCAGAACTTGCAAAATTCCCTAAGGGGATAGAAGCAAATGCAAATTTCTATAAATGTTGTCTCACAGAAAAGCAGTATAGTCATAAGCCATGCATTGAGGCCTTCAGACTGTACAGCTTAACAAGATTTGGCTGTGTTTAGTGCAGATCACTTGTATTTGGTCTTCCTATTGGATTTTGTCTTTGAGACCTGGAAGATGTGTTTTTGATTCCTATTAGTTCTTTGAAGACCTGCAACTGGTCTGAGAAGAAACACAGGTTTTGAGCCTCACTGTAAAAAAAGTTAGAGGAGAACCAACATAATGTGTTCCTACTTCTTGAACAGCAATATTTGTTTGCTCAGAGCCCTGTCTTTGGTCCATGCTTAAAAAAACAGGTTCAGTTGCTTGTAGTGGTAGAGCTAAGTTAAAATAACCTAGCTTAGTTTATCTTACACTACCTAGGTGAAAAGAAAGAGAATGAAAAATGCCTTACGTTGACTTCAACACTGTGTGATTTCAAAGCTGGCTAGTGTTAACTTGAGGTGCTGGGGGAACGATCACTGTAAACCTAGTTCTTCTAGACATTTCTTAGTGTCTCTGCTAATGAAGCTCTTCTAAATCTGTCTTTAGACTCTCTAGAGCAACAAAGGATGATCTGAAGAATACCACAACATCTCTTCGGGATGTACAGGCAATACTGCTAAACTTGTTCAGTGCAGATACAATTTTAATTGGACACAACTTAGAAAATGACTTGTTTGCTCTCAAGGTAAAATAACCTGTTTGAAGCCAATTTTAAGAGATGACTACTTGTCTTTACTGTGTTCTAATTAATTTCAAAAAGGAAAAGAATGTTGAATTTCAGCAGATCAACATGTATGAAAAAAAGAAGGAAATGTACTTGATTGTTAAATGATAGCTGTAGTAAAGGTAATACTACATTCAGAGAAGAAGAGATGTATGTACAAACACAGTATGGTAGAAATTCTGACATTTGGGCTTTCTGATTTGCTTTTTTGTGCTTCTAACTGTGCAACCATATATCACCACTGAATAATATTGTCTTTATTTCTGGGTTCACAGAAACCTAGAATTGTATGTTTTCTGATCTTGCTGAACTCATGCCAGCAAATGCATAAAAGGCAGTGACAATTCAAGTAATACCAAGGTATTGCTCTCAGAATCTCTGTAAACAATTATGCTGCCTGTTAGGTAATTACCTTAGGTACCAGAAATGCATGGATTGTGCTATTAAATACCAAAGGCAGCAATATTCCATAAGAAGTATAACCATCTGCTCAGGAAGACTCGGGGGGGATTTTGTCAATGTCTATAAATACCTGAAGGAAGGGTATGACAAGACTGAGCCAGACTCTTTTCAGTGGTGCCTAGTGCCAGGACAAGAGGCAGTGGGCACAGACTGAAACACAGGAGGTTCCTTCTGAACATCAGGAAACATTTTTTCACTGTGTGATGCCCAAGCACTGTCACAGGTTGTCCAGAGAGGTAGAGTCTCACAGATCAAAAGTCATCTGGACATGTTTCTGGGCAACTGGCTCTAGGTGGCCCTGCTTGAGCAGGGGGTTTGGACAAGATGACTTCCAGAGGTCCCTTCCAAGCTCAACCATTCTGTGATTATTATTAATGAAGGAATTGGAATTTAGCTTTGATAGGCTTCCCTGCTAGTGATATCTAAAGGCCAAAGCAAGAGACTTTGCAGTATGGTATTGACTATCTAAAAACAGAACTAGTCATGTTCAGTGTATATATACACCTAGTGAATAAGCATCAATGCAGTGTACAGAAATCACTGTGAAGCACAACTTTTCCACAGTTACTGCCCCACAGTTTGCCATTCTATAATGAATACAGGAACACAGGACAGATGACATAGTATTTGGGGCTTAAGGATTAGTTTGGATGTATTATTGAGAAAGGAAATGGTTTAGATGCTAGATGAGATTTCTTTAATAAATAAAAGAGGTGCAAGACTGTAACTGGATGTGTAATCATTGCTGTGGTCTCTGCTCTTTTCCAGCTAATTCATGACACAGTAGTGGACACATCAATAGTGTTTCCTCATCGGCTAGGTTTGCCTCACAAAAGAGCACTTAGAAGTCTGATGGCTGACTACCTCAGGAGAATTCGTCAAGATGATGGTAAGAACGCAGGTTCTTATTAAGCAATCAGTATACTGCAATGTGAAATGGGAGACAGGAATAACCCAGAAAACTGAAAAGGTAGTAATACACTTGCTGTCGTTTAAAGCTTTGTCTTGGATATCTTTTCTTCAATAGTATAGTAAATGCAGAGGATATACCTGAAGGGTAAGATCGTTGGTGTTGTGGTTTAAGCCCGGACAGCACTAAGCACCACACAGCCTCTCACTCGTTCCCCCCAAGTATGGTTGGCTTGTCAAAGTGTTCACCATACAAAAGTGTTCCAGTTTCTTTCCCTTGTAGAGGGGCATTCTTAAAGTTCTGAAGGTAGTGTGATGAGGCTAACATCTATTTCAAGATTCACTTGCTTATGCAAGCTGATACAGCTCTTAAGCGGGGGTTTTCAGTAGTAAAATTATGGTAAATTTCGTGGTTGGCTGTCAAAGACGAAGCAATAAATCTGTTCTACAGTGTGCATATAATACTTATGAAATGTTGCATTTGACAGATATATTTTGCATTGACCATGCTATTCTAAATAATTGTTTTTAATCTGATCTTAGAATAAATTAAATTGAGTATCTAATAAACTGGCAGATTCATATTTGTTTTTACCAGTGAAGCCTTCTGGACAACAAATAATATTCTGTGCTGCTAACATATCTTCATTGCCCAGGGAATACATAAATGGTTGCACAGAGCAAAACTTAATGGCCTTTGATACCCAGTGGAGTAGCTGGATGCTGTATCTCAAAGCTTATAATATCTTCTGACTTCCTTTGCTCTGACAGTCTGATGCACAGCACTGTGGTGGGAGTAAGGGGGAATGTCAAAAGTTATTTTTACAGACTTGAAGATGGCGATCTCAAATAGCCAAAACTCTGCCTTTAGCAGACTTTTCTGCTTAAGTTTGGATTTAATCATTTGTTGTTGATGATCACTGAGCTGAAATCCAAGTTTAACCTATAAAGCTAGGTAACTGCCATTTCTAGAAAAAATGAAAAAAACCTGACACATGACTTCTACTCCCTATGTTTATATTGGCTTGTGCTGCTGCTTTGTGCTAGTTTGTGTTAGTTTTGTTCTAGTACTAGAGAAAGGTAATAAACTTCAAGTCTAGATTTGCTTTTTTGTAAACCTAGGGATTAGTAGAATGAAACACCCTTTGCTATCAGAAAGCAGTAGGTCTGTGGTGATTTAACTTGCTCTGAATTTAATTGACTGCCTTTTGACCATCTCAAACTGGAGTTTGACTAGGAGTTGAGACTGGGTTTCAACTCCAGGATTTTTTTCTAAAGTACAAGAACTGCAACTGCTGAGGTAGCTTGGCTTACATTATATCATATACTTGATTTGACTGAAAAATTGAAGAATACATAACAGAGCTAGAAGACTATGGTTTCAATAATTGAGCGTTTTATAGACTACTTGAAAAACATGTCTCATACAGGTTGTACTTTCCTGAGCAGTTAAAAATAGCAGCAGCCGAACGGTGGAATGGCAGGGCAGAGTGCTACTTCATGGGTTGGAAAGCAAATGAGAATTGGAACTTTCTCTGGCAAAAGATAGTAAGAGCAGAGGGAAAGCTCACAGGATCACCTCCATTTTCTTATCCAAATGACAGAATAGTTTCTATTTGATTATTGGCAACTGTTCTCTTTTATTTCTTAAGGTACATTTAGGAGGGGAGAAAACTAGAACCTGCAAGGTTATTGCCAGCTGTCTTCTGATTCTGTGAATAGTAGAGGTTACTAAGTGGTATAAACTTCTTTGCCACAGGGAAAAGCTATGACTCTCCTCCATTAGGTTCCACAGCTCTTTATATGTTTGATCTAAATAGATATTGCAGGGATAGTTCTTATAAAATATGCTGGTGAAAGCATTCACGTAACACACTAATGCTGTTGCAGATCACTACCATGACTGTAAATTATGTGTTCACTGAGAGGGAAGTATAACAACTTCCACACTCAAGGAGGTACTACACTGCTTTAAGCCAGTAGATATCTGATTGCAACTACATGTCTGAAGATCTTTGCTTCTGAGTCTAGGCTGCTACATATGAAAAATTATCTCAAATCACTGGCATTTAAGTTTACAAGAGAAAGCTAGAAGCCTGTTCTTTCAGTATTGAGTCATCTTTTGTTGTGATAGCATTTAAGTCCTCTGCTTCTTTGAGGAATGGAACATCTCAATTAAATCTAAGAAAACTATTTTTCTCCCTAGTATCAACTTACTATATTGTAGTGTTCTCCCCTGCCCAAAGCAGCTGTGGAATCAGTAGATGTGGAATCTATGCAGTAGTCCACTGCTGTAGGGCGAAGAAGCAATACCTTTTTCTTTTTGAGGAACTAGCTCAGAAACATAGAATGGGGAAGGGATTTTGCCACCTTCAAATGAAAATGCTGAACTATATGCTCTCAGATTTTTCTTCCACAACTTTTTTGGTTCCTGACTAACCAGCCCCTGTCCCAAACCTGTTTATCTGAGATCTTCTGTACCTTTCTTAAAGGTACTATACTCAAAATGGTATCTTTCTTTAACATAACTTAAACCATACAGGATTTAGATTTCCCTTGATCAGCTCATATAGGATTTACTGAGGGACACATATTCAAATTAGTCAATGTGACAATTTGACACTGTGTCAAATTTCTGTTTATGAAGATGATGGCTGAATATAGTAGGTCTATTCTCCACCCATCCTGAAGTTGCTAGGAGAGCCCCAACATGCCGCTTTGGCTTTCAGTAAGGAGCGTTCAGAACTTTCAGTAGTTAACTACCATTATCCTGGTAGCCAGCATTTTCTTGTGTTGATTCAATGTTAGGAAGGGTATTCTGATGCCTACATTAGGTGCCAACTAATGAGAGGATTGTATACATTTCTAGTTTGGATGACTACCACTGTTTTCCAGCCAGAATACATTAAAACCTTTCTACTTTTTGTAGTTAGGGGAATTGTGTAAAACATGTGTAAACTTGTAAGTTGCTGAGTTTTTAAGCTTTGACTAAACAGGTAATAAAAATGTATAACCGTACATAATTTAAGTCTTTTAACTCTATTCTGTTCAGATTTTGTGGAGCATTTCAGTAGATCAGGACAAGTATATTGTCCTTAATTAACCAAGGTAGAAATTTACCATCTAGTTGCAAAATTAACTTGTCATCTGTTAATCTTCCAACTCCTGATTTGAAAGTACATGACTTGGAGAGGCTGGTTTTCCAAAGACAATTATGTTGGACACTCTAGGTTACTAATCCAGGCTCCATTGGATATTGAAGCTGGAGGTCGTGGTGGGAAACTGAATATTGCCAGACAATACTGGACTGCTGGAAGCATATGGTTATTACCTTGAATCCTGGTAGCAAGAAGCTGCATCAAAAACTGTCTGAATACCAAGTATTGTCTTAATATTCTCGACAATTGTTCAGCTTAATAAACAAAGCTACCATTCTTTTATAAAAAAAAAAAAAAAAATAAGCTAACACTTCTAACTTTTTTTTTTGTTCTCCTCTAGTTGATGGTCATAATTCCAGGGAAGATGCAATTGCTTGTATGGAACTAATCCTTTGGAAGGTCAAGGAGGACAATAAAAGGAGAAAATGGTGATTATTATGGCTTTGGAGGAACAAGATGGGGGGAAAAAATCAACCTCACTTTGGCTCACTGTTCTGTAATGCTTCAGTATCAATTATTTTCTGATGTAAAAATGAGGACAATGGGAAAATCTAATGGGAAAACTTGACTGTATCTACTTCTGAAGCTTAAGATGTACAGGAAGGAGAATACACAAATGCACAAAATACATACAAGTAAGATGCACAGAGTAAATTCTTGCGTTAAACAGCAAGCCCAGGTGTTGTTTTTCTGTTCTGTTAAGAGAGTATTATTTCTGTAATCATTCTTACTACTCTATAGCTGAAAACTATAATTTGCAGTAGGTGAAAGTACTGATTGTTTAAAGTTCTGGATGTAACCTTTGATTTCGCTGTGTTCAGCCTCTGTGAAATAAAACTTAAACACATAGCAAAAACTTAAGATTATTGTTTTCTTTTTCCCTTTCCCTTCCTGCTTCTCTCTACCTCTCCATCTGCTTTCAGAGAGAGAGAGAGAGAGAGAGAGAGAGAGAAAACAAACTTAGTCCTGTTTAATGTACTAATTGACACAAAATTGACAATGGTAGAAATGTGACCTCTTCTGGAGCAGAATAAGCAGGCTCAACTTATTTAAAAGAAACCAGTAGGAAGCTTTTCAACTGTAAAAGCAATAAGCTTTGACTTATAAGGGTTCCCAAAAAGTAGAGTATTTCAAGAAGTAAATATGTTCATTGCTTTAGCTAAAATTGGACTGTAGTCCAAGGTATAATGCCCTTTCTCCCACTTAAGATAGTATTCAGCATCTGCTACTTTCAGAGAGGAGGATTTCAAAGTCTATTGCCACTTATTTTTGTGTGGAGGGAACAAAAGGAAATGAAAATGTAAGAATGGACCACATTTTTTTTTGTACAACACTAGCCCTGAGCTGAAGTTATGCTTTGCATGAATTTGTCAAAGAAAGCTTACAGTGGTGAGGAAGAATGGTCCTGACTGAGGACCCTGTGAAAGAAGATCAGTAGAGTACAGAAGGTCTCTCAGTTCTCACAGATGTGCCCCGAAGAACGAGTACACTGCATAACTAAATCTGTACTGAAAGTTAAAAATCGCTGTAGCTGCTTCTTATGCATTAAAATACTTGGAATGTGTCCTGTTCTGTGAGGTACTGACAAGTGATAGCTGTGGTTAGAAATAGCTTTGAGTATTTATTGTCCTGTATCTGCTGCTCAGAATGTCAAAAACTGCTCAGAATGTAAAAAAAAAAAAAAAGCTTTGATTTTTGCCTTCACCCAAGAATAGGTAATACTTCTTTCTATATTAGTAGCACAGTCCTGTATACAGTCCCTACTACAGCTTAGAGAAGGGGCATTGGCATGTTCTTTACAAAGGGGAGAGACTTGCTTATGGATTCCCCCAGCTTTGAAGTGAAGATTGCCTTTATTTTTTAGTGAAGATTGCCTTTATTATTCATCTTTCAGTAAATCTAAGGAAAGAGATGAATGTCTACTTTGTAGAATCTGTCCTGCTTAGCAGAGGAACCTGTGTTAGGCATGCAACAAGCTATTAGCAGTGACCAAAGTGGTAATTCTGAGGCTCTATAGGCTGTCTAAGGAACCTCCATCATCTGACTTGTCTTCTTCATAACTTCTTCATGTAGTTGACTATTGAATTGTTAAAATCAAATAGATAAAACACTCTGCACAATAAGTAAAATAATTTTAGATACTAACTTTTTTGTAATAATAGCAAAATAAAACAATCATCTGGTGCTGGAAGTAAAGAAATTTCACCAAAACTGAAAGGTTGTGTGAATATAGGTGCAGTTCATCATTAGAACAGTGACTTAACTCTGAGTCATATCTCTGTCATCTCTCTGCTGCCACTTGCTGTAAGCATACTTTTCTGTTTCCCACATACATTTATGATACAGACTTAGCTACTGCAAAAGCTGTAGCACCTTCAGAAGCTGGAAGCTTAGTTCATGTTTTGAAGATGTGAGATGCTGGTGTGGTCTGATTGGACCTCCACAGTTTACAGAGGCACTTTCTGAAACCATTGGCTCCTCCTGTGGGAATATCACCACCTGTGTCATATATTGTGCTATTAAGTGAATATGTGAAAGAGCTCTGAAATATTCAGGAGGAAACATTACACTATGTTTGCTTGATTTGAGGATTTTGGCTTACAGCCTGGAAAAAGTTCGGCTTGCTTTGTTCCAACTGTTGTTTAATCAGCGTTCCCCTGTGTCCAACCAGTTGCCTTGCATGTGGGAATGGCTCATCAGTATGTAACTTGGGGAAAGACCAAATGGTGTGTTGGGAGCAGGGAATGTCATGTACCAGCACAGGGAGGGAATTAGCAGCAAGAGGGAAAACTTGTGTTTGACCACAGATGAACTATTCCCTTAAAATTTAATTGCTCTTTAGCTGGGCCTCTGCTTATTTTCGGCATTTCCCTTCCCCCATCTTGCAGAGTTCACAGAATCACAGTATAGCTGGGATTGGAAGGCATCTGGGGAGATCATCTACTCTAGTCCTCTGCAGTGTCCAGTCAGGTTTTGAGTATCTCCAAGGCTGGGGACTATACAACCTCTCTGGGCAGCCTCTTCCATGCTTGACCACCCTCAGTGGAATTTCCTAGATTTCCCTTTGTGTCCATTGCTTCTCGTCCTGTCACTGGATACAACTGAGAAGAGGCTACTTCCATCTGCCTTACCTCCTTCTATCAGGTATTTATACCTTTTGATGAGATGTATGTAATAGTCAACATTTTGTATTTTAGTTTCAGCAAATGCCCAATCATATTTTGGGTAGTGGAGAGGGGCTGTGTTTGACTTTAAAGTTGTGTCAGGCACAGTCTGTCCACAGAGAAGTAAGAATTAAATATCCCCATCATTTAAGACCAGATGAGTGCTTCCTTTTGGGTTACTGAGGAGTGGGAGAAGTGCAGCCATGGAGTGGATTAGCTAAATTCAGACATCTCCGAAGGGTAGTTAGACCTTACTTTTCAACCAATCTAATGAGGTTAAAGGTGCCTGTCTGGAGTTTTTGTTACCCTTCCCCTCACGGTGGTATCTAGTAAACCTTACTTTACACTAGCCTGTTCTCAGATTTCTTAGCTTTCCTGCCAAGCACACTGTGTTCTTCTGTAACTCTTGAGTTTTGCTCGGACATATTAAGGACTTCTTTTTTCTGTCTGCACTCAAGCTGTTGAACAATCAGAGCTGTTGCACTAAATGGAAGTTGAGGGTGGTGAGGGAGAAGGCTTGGGGGAGAAGTTGTGTGGAGGCTTTGCTTCTGACTTTTATTCTTAAAGGCTCCACTTTCTCTGATCAGGTGTCTGATAGAATCATAGAATCATTAAGGTTGGAAAAGACCTCTAAAGATAATTTCTTTCTAAACTATGGATGATGCTTGACTGTAAGCAGTTACCTGCCATTCTGCATCACATACTCCTTAAAGCATGGCCAGCTCGACTTGTCTGAAACTGTTCTTTTCTTTCCCAACCAAAAACTTGTACTGAGTATGAGCTTGATAACTATGTGAGACAATATGGGAAAACTAATGCTGTGATATCAAAAAACAACATGGAGAATAGCTGATGATACTCTAAGCTTGTGCATAGATGTCGGCAGGTGTAAATAGGTGGAGGTGTATAAAGAATGTTAGAACGCGGCGTATTTGCAATAATGGAAAACTGTTGGCGCTGGTAGTGTTATGCTCTTGACAGCAAAGAAACAAATAAAAGACACTTGGGAAGGAGGGTACATGGGATCTCGTGTAGTGCTGTGGAAGGCAGAACATACAGCCTGCTCATGGTTAAGCTGAAAACCTTTATATGCCACCTACTGCCATAAATTGGGCTTTCCAGCACTGGATAACAGACAGTAAAGTCTAGCGATTGAACCTGGGATACCCGATGCATGTTGCAAGTATAGAAGTAATTCGTCTGTCTGAGACTCTGACGGAACTAGTGGGTGTTTTTAATAGCTGTAGTTCTGTTATGTATAGACTGAGTAGAGACATCTCAAGCTGTGTACTGGAGTTACTGTTTTCTTTTGTGTATTTTTTAAAGTGACAATTTAAAAAAAAATAAATTTCATTACAGCAGATTAGAAAGTTAATGCATGCCACAATGTTAAATGAAGATATGAAGAAAATTTACAAGGATACTTACATGACCTCCAGTAAAATTTACAGTGCGACTTGAGCACTTAAAGTGCAGACAGTACTAAGACCTATTGGGTTGATGAATGACCCTCTGATTCTTTCCTTATGTGGCATATTGGGCCAAGTAAAAGTTTGCCACAGAAGAAGGGGTTCGCATCAAGTAGCAGAATAGTTGTATCTGCTTGTTAGAGATGTGTGAGACAATGAGCTGTTTTGGACCTGTGAAAAATTCTGTACAGGAAGTGGAGCAGTTCCAGCAGAAGTTGTTAGCTAACTTTGCGTGGCAGCATAGAAAACACCTGTGGAGGTCCATTCCTGTTCACCTCACTGACCTGTAGGAACCCAGTTGGACTGCAAAATGCAATGCCCATGCTTCAGATGTGCCCGGCCACATAGTCTTTATGAAAAATATAGTGGAATTTATTTCTCTTTTCCATTTTGGAGTTGTTCCTTGGTCCAGTGAATCTGTTCACTCTTTGTGAACTCAAATTGTAGCACCTGTACTTGCAGTGCAAGTCCTGCCTATCTCAAGGCCACACAAGTCATCTCAGCACCCTTGTTCGTTGACTTACTCTCTTTTAGTAAGGCTCTTGGTGCGTCTCTTATTTGAGTCAGCCTAGTGTACGCCAGTAATGTTACTCTAGTCTGCAGTGATAACCAATCTGCCTTGTAACCAACTAAATACCCACCCACAAACTAAGTATCAGAAGGGGAAACCTTTTTCTCTTTCTTTCTCTAGCATCTTCCTCCAAGTCTTGGGGGGTGATCTGATCCACCCAGCTAGAAAGTCACTGTGGTCTGATGGTCAGTTATGAGCTGGTGAATCACGGGGGATGAGGGGAACATA